GCTTCACGGTAGAAACACGAATAGGACAGAGTTGCCCAAGCAAACGATTTTAGTACAAAGTCTCCCTCTGATAAGTAGTATGAACTAAAGGTTAATTTTACAGCAAAATCTGTAATCTGTCTTTTCTGTAGTGTTTTCCATCCATCAATTAATCATTGAAATAAATGATTTCATAAATTCTTTATAGAATCACGCAGTGATGCTTGCAAACCATGACACTCTAATGAATATAATGGAAAGGGATGGGATGGGATGGGATGGAATAGTATGGAATAGAAAAGAATAGAAATTTAAATAAAACCTATTATTAGTTACCTCCTTGGTAGCCATGTTTCGAAGAAAAAGATCATTCCATTTTTAAATTACAGGACAGATATGAGTTTACATAGTAATTTATCTGGCCGCAAAATACGACAGATATGGATTTTCATACAACTTGTGCCGGCCGCTGCCCGCATGTATCTGGCCAGTACGGCAATTTTGATTTATCACGAAGAAGATTGTCAAAATAATGCTCACATTTCCAAGCATGTTTGAGAAAAATAGTTTTACAGCGCAAGTACTATCCTTACTCTGTGTTTTACTGTTACGCATTTCGTGGCAAGTTTACAAATACAAACAAACACATTTCAATTCAAACATTCTGCAATTTTTATTCTGTTCTTGTCTATTGGCTGATGACGGTTAGTGATTCATTTACTATCGGTTAAAAAAAAAAAAAATTTCATCCGGATAAAAATGATCGTATCTCTCAACTTGAAGCAAACAGAACAGGGGGTCTACCATGAAATGAAATTCCGAATTTTCGCGCTCAATTTCGTGTTTTTGTTCGTACCGAAATCGATCCTGTAAATGGAGCTTAACAGAGGGAGACTTTGTACAAAAGTCGATTGCTTGGGTACCTCTGTCCCATTCGTGTTTCAACCGTGCAGCAGTTGTGTTTGCATGGCTGTGTTTCGGTTTGAAGAGTGGGATACGGCGTGAATTTACAGGGTACAGAGGAATAACACCTGAGTCCTTAGGAATGGCAACGCATGGGGGGTATCATGGGCGAAACAGTATACTCTGTTATGTCCATGGTACTGCTCATGTCTATAGGCGACGGTTCCCACTTTCCATCAGGTGGGCCGTCAGCTTGTTTGCCATTCTAAGTTGTATAAAAAAAAAAAATTCGTTTGTCATAAATCGTACCATAAAAGTTCAAAGGAACGATATTTTAGTATTTTTAATATTTTTAAACGGTACGTATCATGTAATTTTAACATCAAAATTTTGTTTCGTTCGGATCCGAAATTTCGGAAAACATTTCATGGTAGGCCCTCTGATATAGAAAAATTCATTATATTCGGTTGAACAGTTTCGAAGATTAGCGTGAACGGACTCTGTTACACGGGATTTTTATATTAATATATAAATATCCCGCGTCACGATGTCCATTCACGCCAATCTTGTTTGCCATTATAATTAATCTGTGCTATTATGAATTATTTATAAATGAGGATCTATCCAGGCTGTATAATTTAGTTCCTTTACCTTTCTCATTGCAGATAAATTATTAGTAATCTCTTATTCGATTAAAAATTCCTTTTTTCTACTTTCTTTTCATGCCTGTTAGCTCATCCTCATACCTTTTGATCTATAACTCCTTATGTTCCTTTATTTTTTTTAATAATATCAAATAATAACTATCACTAATACCAATATTTCTTACCTTTCCTTTTTAATACCTCGTTCCTTTCCCTGTTTAATTAGTGACACAATGAGCTGTACTATACTAGCACTTTGTCAAAATAAAAAAAAAAAAACTGTTAATGCTCATAATTGACATTTGATATTTTTTTTAATGAATGAAAATAGAATGGCAAACCCCGCTTACGTTTCGTTTCACGTTGGCGGTGAACTAGTGTAGCACGATAAAAAAAATATATTATCATTCATAATATATAATAGTGTGTGAATAAAAATAAATAATCTATTAATAACAAGAAGTATTTGTAAAAATAAACTATTATATTGTTGTGTGTATCCAAAAATACGTGAAAACACTCAAACATTTGACTTGGCATCTACTTATATTCTGTATGAATCATATGTATCAACTTTTATATCCCTCCATTTTGGCGCCAACTTAAATACGTCATTAGAAAGAGGTTATGTGAACACAGACAATAATGTATACAGTTTCATGGAATTATCTAAAGATTATGTGCATATCCTACAGCCTAGATGGTCGCGTACAACACGGTTTCAGAGCTGTTTTTTCCTACGAACATTCAGGTTATGAATAAGCTCCCTGCCAAGGTTTATGCAAGAAACTACTGCATGGGGTTCTGTAGATAAGGGATAAAGAGGTTTCTTCAGGGTCGGCAATGCGCGCTTAATGCCCTTGGTGTTGCATCGTTTACCATCAGTCGGGCCGTATGCTTGTTTGGCATCTCAGTGGTATAAAAAGCTCTTAATTTAGGCGTAAGCGTATACAGATATAGATCAATCGGTTTTTAATGGATGAAAATGGAATGATAACCCCGCCTGCGCTATCGGTATACGCTGTCGTGGTACCAGGGAATCATGACAAGTGAAGATGCATTGTGAAGTTAATTGAGGCATTGAGACGAATTCTAAGAGAAGAGTTACCGCGTAGACTGTTATTTATAGGGGGGAGGGAATGTTAATAATGAAGACTAAGGACCCTATTGCGAGGTATACCTAAATATACCTAATCAGGTCGACCTCCACGTGGTCCCCCCTGGAAATCATCGTGCTGAATTCTAAGTGTATTCATCACGATGGGCTAATTGACCTGTCTTTTCATCCTCACCTATCATCCCTCACTGGTGCTACGCCAACATATACCTACTATTAGGGCAGGCGGGGTTACTATTCCATCATCACCCATTAAAAAAAACCTCTTATTTATACATATTTTGAAATTATTATTTGGTAAATTTTGTTACGATCATTAATAAAATTTGCTGACAATAAACGTAGTCATTATGTGGACAAAATAAATTGTTTTATGTATTTTCGACTAGTTATTGACCGGATATCCGGTGACGTTATTGTGCATAAAGTCAACTGAGATACAAAATATATTGGATATTACCGCTGTAAAAATATAATTTAATTTTTATGTGCATATTTCGAATTTTTTTTTATACTACTTAGAATGGCACGCAAGCTGACGGCCCACCTGATGGAAAGTGGTAACCGTCGCCTATAGACATAAGCAGTACCGTGGACATAACAGAGTATACTGTTTCGCCCATGATACTCCCCATGCGTTGCCATTCCTGAGGACTCGGGTGTTATTCCTCTGCACCCTGTAAATTCACGTCATATCCCACCCTTTAACCCGAAACACAGCCATGCAAACACAACTGCTTCACGGTTGAAACACGAATGGGACAGAGGTACCCAAGCAAACGACTTTTGTACAAAGTCTCCCTCTGGTATCATGGTATCAGTTGATAAATATATTATTATTAGTTTTAGACGTGTGGTCCCGGCATAGAATGGACCACCCATTACTTTCCAGTGGGTGTCATAAGAGGCGACTAGGGCAACATAATGATTAAGAGATGAGCAGCAGCGTACCTGTTAGACATCTCCAAAGCCTAACTGCGATTGCCACTCTGTCGACTAAGCTTGACAGCTACTGGAAAAAACCCCCTTATGAAGGACACCTATGTTTAGCAGTGGACACTTAACGCCTGGTATGATCTTCAATACAATTTCAGCCATTACCTGTCCACTGCTAGACATAGGCCTCTCCCATAGACTGCCACAAGGGACGGTCCCAACCCACCTGCTATATTGGGGGGGAAAAGGATTGTTAGTAATGGAGACTGAGAATCCCATTGCTAGCAATATACCCAACCAGGTCGACCTCCTCGCGGTTCCCCCTGCAAACTATCATGGTTAATTTCTGATGAATTCATCATGATGGGTTAACTGGCGTGTTTTCATTCTCATCTATCACCTTTCACTGGTGCTCCGCCAGCGTATCCCGTTAGCGCAGGCGGGGTTACCATACCATTTTCACCCATCAAAAAAAAAACCCACCTGCTACTGACTTCCTGCAATGCATTTAAGTTCTTTATTTTATCATTGTTTGTTTCTTTATTTATTTATTCATTAGTACATATATGTGTGTACATGGCGGACTTAATGCTAAAAGCATTCTCTCCCAATCAACCATAGGGAAGTGTCAGAATACACGAATGCGGTACTAGTGATTATTGATATACATACATACTAACATTACATATATAAACGAATAGATATATATGAATAACAAATATACTTACACATATATGACATATACTATATTGTACACGAAATTGAGAATAATATAAAGTACTCACTGCTCGGATAAAGTAAAAAAGTGAGCGTGAACGTTTTTTTTGAAAGACGGTTTAGTCGGTTTACCAAAATAAATGAAAAAAAAAAAAAGATATATCGATTATAATTTATAAATGCATTAACAATGTAGTTTACAAGTGCAATAAAGAATATATAAATTACTAGCGGCCCGCCCCGGCTTTGCACGGGTGGACATTTTTACAACATTTTAAAAAGTGGCTATTGTGACATAACGATAATAGTTGGACATATAGTGTCGCGAAGTTTTCTGTAGTTATTGATATTTCCTTCAATATTGTAGAACATACTTTTGTTCTATCACCAATAGTTTCCGCAGCGCACGCGACCAAAGATATTTTATAGCATTTTTCTACACCTTGAGTTACGTTACTAAAGTTTTAGTAAGGATCTCTAATGCTTTCTAGCAATAAATATAGCCTATGTTATTCGGGGTGAATGTAGCTTTCTAATGGTGAAATAATTTTTGAAATCGGCAAAGTAGTTTTTGAGTTTATTCATTACAAACATACATATACACACAAAAATACAAATCTTTCCTCTTTATAATATTAGTGTAGATTAATTATTAAAATAATATGAAGTCACTGTGTAATGAAAAATCTAACGACCCTTTACAGATAAACGACGGAGGCGGTCCCGCGCTGATGTTTGCCGAGGAGCTGAAACAAATTTTGGAAAGATATCTCTTCGGATTGTGTCCTCAGACTTTTAAGGTAAATATTTAAAAAAAAAAGGTTGTCTTGTAAAGATCGCTCTCAGCAATAAGACCGCTTTACTGTACTCATACAACTATATCGTTACATTTTTTTTATACAACTTAGAATGGCAAACAAGCTGACGGCCCACCTGATGGAAAGTGGTAACCGTCGCCTATAGACATGAGCAGTACCGTGGACATAACAGAGTATACTGTTTCGCCCATGATACTCCCCATGCGTTGCCATTCCTGAGGACTCAGGTGTTATTCCTCTGTACCCTGTAAATTCACTGCCATATCCCACCGTTCAAACCGAAACACAGCCATGCAAACACAACTGCTTCACGGTTGAAACACGAATGGGACAGAGGTGGCCAAGCAAACGACTTTTGTAACAAGTCTCCCTCTGGTTTATTTATAGTCTTGCTTATTCCCTATATTGTGTAATGCAAATAAATTATTGAAGTTCATTTAAATTTAAATAAATTGAGTGATTACTAGGATAGCATCATATTCTCTATGTAGTATGGTAGGGGTTACCATTCATCATTCATCCATAAAAAAATCAGGCGGGGTGCCTGCGCTAACAGTATACGCTGGAAGGGACCAGTGAGTGTTGATAGGTGAGAATGAAGCAGGTCAGTTAGCCCACCGTAACGAATCTAATAATAAATCAATCACGATGGATTCCAGGGGGAACCACGTGGTGGTCGACCTGACAGGGTATATTGCTAGTAATGGGGCTACTAATCCCCATTACTAACGATCCCTTCTCCCCGCATACACCTGGAATTCAGCATGATGGCCTTCAGGGGGGACCACGTAGAGGCCGACGTGACAATTGCTAGCAATATAGGGTATATTGCTAGCAATGAGACTGGTAATCCGCATTACTAGTAATCCCCCCCCCCCATCCGCAGTGATAAAATGCCCAAATTTTTAGAATTCGAAAGTTTTTTTTATTAGATACAGTACGGCATACGCGGGCGAGGTACCAGGGCGACATGATAGGTGAGGATGAAATAAGGACAGTTCGTACGTAGTGACGAATTAATCTGAATAATAATAATGAATTACATGATGGTTTCCAGAGTTCGCGAGCAGTCGACTTAAGATGGTATATTGTTAGCTATAAAGCAGCAATTTATTTCATCCATTCACTTATTACTGACTTATAACATAAGCTTCCCCCATAAGGGGTGTTTTGCCCATAGTTGCCACGCTTGGCAGGCGGGTTGGCAACTGTAGGTTCTTGGTGATGTTTTAAGAGACGTATACCCTTTGCTATTGTATATAAAAATTAGGAATATTCACAAATATTCTCAAATAGTCACGTTGGTTCCAGATGCCGTTGGGGGGGAAGAGCAAGAATTCCACCACATTCACCTGCGACCTGGACCCTGAACAACAGGAGTTGGCTGGCCGGTTAGCACACTATTTATTGCATTTGCAGCTAACCATAGATCATATACCTAAGTACCAGCTTCCATCCAGAGCCAGGGGACTACAGATATCTTAAACCGCGGGATATCATTAGGGTAACACATAGGATCTATAAAATGATGGTATAAAACAGGGGGAAGTACAAAAGATCCGTATGGGTCGACGTGCATCGGCTTAGCTGACCCCATATGCGAAAAAATAAGATAAGATAAGTACCAGCTTTAACCCTTCGACTCGGTGCAACGACGAGCTATGAGAATTGTCGATGATCCCAGGCTTGCAGGCAGTATCGAACCCTTAAGTCTTAGGAGAGATTTTGCCTCACTCTGCGTGTTCTACCACTTGTACAACGGATTGTTTTCAGAGGAATTGTTCAATACGATGCCCATGCCATCGACAGGGAGTTCACTCCCATACTTTAGAGCCTGAATGGTCGTGTACAATGCGATTGCAGAGATGTTTCCTCCCACGGAAGCTCAGGTTATGGAATGAGCTCCCTGCCGAGGTTTTCCAAGAGGCTACTACAGCATGGGATTCTTATAACCTTTTTGAATAACAAACAATTTCCTTACTGCGCTGAATTAATAAACATTGATATGACTTTATAGGTACATAAACGATCTAGGTTTTGATCCAGTCCTGACGCTATGGATCAGTACTGATTATCCGAATCAAATAAAATCAAGGATACTCTGTATAATCTAAAATCCGGATAATTAATTTCAAAATGAAATCAAACAATATATAATTGAATTTTAATATTTTTTTTATTATGTTTTGTATTGTGTTAAATTTAATTTTTTTATACAACTTAGAATGGCAAACAAGCTGACGTGCCCACCTGATGGAAAGTGGTAACCGTCGCCTATAGACATGGACATAACAGAGTATACTGTTTTGCTCATGAGACCTCCGTGCGTTGCCATTTCTGAGGACTCAGATATGATTTCTCTGTACCCTGTAAATTCACTGCCATATCCCAACCTTCAAACCGAAACACAGCCATGCAAACACAACTGCTTCACGGTAGAAACACGAATTGGACAGAAGTGCCCAAGCAAACGACATTTGTACAAAGTCTCCCTCTGGTATTTTATATTAACCCTAGGTTTTACCATCGTCATTTAGACAATACGATATAAAAAATTACGAACTATAAAGATATTTTAGTTATCAAATACCATTTTGTGAAAAATAAGTCCGGATAATCGATTATTCGGATAATCGACGTTTGGATCATCGAGATTCTACTGTAGATTGTATGCTTAAATAAGTTTTAAAATGTAGTTTCTATGTTAAAGTGGAAAGCGGTAATAAATCATACATTGGCGTTGGTTACATGGCGACGTGCCAACTAATTTGTCGTCTAAATCTAAATGAAGTGTCTAAATGGAAATTACTAATGATGGGTAAATAAAAATTTAAAGCAGTCAATTCAACATTCAAAATGGTTTTTCTTTTAAAGTACTATTTACTAGTGGCATACGCCCGCCGTATATATATAATATAATATAATAAAATGAAATAAAATAAAAGAATTTATTTGTACGCGCTGATCTCTGGAACTAACCGACGGATTTCACAAATTCCTTTTGCATTTGATATCTCATTTTTCGAGAAAAGCTTTTTTTTAACGGATGATAATGGAATTGTAACCCCGCCTGCATTTTCGGTATCGGTATACGCTGGCGGGGCACCAGTGCGAGATGACAGATGAGGATGAAAGCAGGTCAGTTAGCCCATCCTGACGAATTCAACTAGAATTAACCACGATGGTTTTCAGAGGGAACCACGTGCAAATCGACCTGACAGGGTATATTGCTAATAATGGATTTAACCCCATTACTGACCATCCCTTTCCCCCTCACAATTTCAGATTGGCAACACTGGCTCTCCGTGCACATTCAGCATCGAGGACGGACTGCTCGCGATTTGGCGCGGCGCTCGCCAACACGCTCGGCGAGCTTGCTCGCACTGCGGCGAACAGAGCTGCATTTACAACGAGTAATGTGTTCTCAAAAAATTCTATTGTTCGATGCCTCCCGGTTGCATGGAGTGTAGTAAATTTTGCACGGGAAGGACTTTGAGAATGGGGTTGTATGGCATGATGCTTTAAAGAGTCCCCGCATAGATATTGCTGGGGGGGAGCATTGAGGGGTAACACTAGTTTAAAAGGCCCAATGCCCTATTCAAAATTTAAGGCCACAAGAAAATTAGACAGATTCGCTTTTTCGATTCAATTATAGCTTCTGCCTTAGCAAAAAGTTCTTTTACTCTACCTTAAACTTGGGTCTAGCTACGGCCCCGAGTCTGCAGAAGGATCAGTAAATCAAGTGATCAGTAAGGGCCGCCCATTGTTTTCTCTGTTTTTTTTTTTTTGTGTGTGATCATTTCTTGTAATTGTTTGTATCTATAATAAGTTTACTATTGTAATCTTATGGAAGGAACAGTAAACAGTAGCTAATTTATTTATCTTTCCCAGCACACTCTTAGATATGTTTTTGCTTATAGCTGAAAGTTCTGCTCTAGATCTCTGGGTGGTCACCACATATTTTACTGAACTAGGCGTCATCTTGCGGTAGTTCATATCACTGGTTATTTGATTACAATTATTTTATTCAATCCCGCTGCCATTAGTATGTGTGTGACTGTCAACACTCGAAGATTGACCACCACTGTTACTACCAGAAGTGCCACAGCCTTTCCTAGACCTTTCCGTAATCTTTTGCGTTCGCCATTTTTAAACTTCGCTTCTAATTCCTATCATTGATAGGAATTTAAAGATGCTCTTTGTAGCGATATTTTCTATCTCCTCAGGATACAGAGTGTGTTTTCCAGAGAAGATATATCGTTTATGTATGAGTGGGCTACAGCGACACATTCAGTGCTGCGGCATTACTGAGACAAAATCAGCATACACTTTTTGGGCATAAGCCTAGTTTTTTTTTTTTAATGGGTGAAAATGGATTGGTAATCTCGCCCGCGCTATTGATATATACTGACGAGGCACCAGTGGAAGATGATAGGTGAAAATGAATGCAGGTCGGTTGGCCCACCGTGATGAATTTGACAAGAATTAACCATGATGGTTTCCAGGGGGAACCGCGTGGAAGTCAACCTGAGAGAGTATATTGCCAGTAATGTGGCTATTACACCCCATTACTAACAATCCCTTTACCCCCGGCATAAGCCCAGTTGTTCTTTGCCTTTCTAAATTGCACAAAAATTTTATATAAAGTTCAAATCTTTTTTGTTCACAGCAGCGACAAATGAGGCGAACAAGAAACGAAAGCTGTCCAAAAGTCAGAAAGCCAAGATCCAAGCCAAGCAGCGGACAGCGCTGGCCGTCAAGAAGAAGGCAGCGGCCGCCGCCGCAGCCGCCGCCGCCAAGATGGCGTCCTGAATCGTTTTTAATGCAACTTTTATATTGTGATCAACTTGTTAAATACACTATATGTTATAAACGACTTGACATTTTCTTTAACTATGCCAGAATCAGTGTTCTACAAACCGACTATACCTATAAGTTTTTTTTTTACAACACAGGGAGCAAACAAGCATGCGGCTCACCTGATGGTAAGTGACTACCGCCGCCCATGATCACCCACAACACCGACAGCATTGCAGGTGCGCTGCCGACCTTTTAAAAAGGAATATACTCTTTTCCTGAAGGTTATGTTGTCGTATCGGTTCGGAAATACCGCTGCTGGAAGTTGATTCCAAAGAGTGGTTGTGCGTGGGAGAAAGTGCCTTAAAAAACGCACGGTGGAGGACCGCCACTCGTCCAGATGGTTGGGATGACACTTTAGTTTATGGCAGGTAGCAAATAATGGTATGAAAAGACAACAAACAATGCGCTACCACTCTGCAATTGATTAGAATGGTGTTATATAGATAGATAGATACCCTTTATTGTTCCCTCCAAAAGATTACAATAGTAAACTTATTATAGATACAAACAATTACAAGGTAATATTGCACTGAGAGAACAATGGGCGGCCTTGTCGCTGAGAGCGATCTCTTGCAGGCAACCTTTGGATGGAGAGGAGTAATTATATGGTATTTTTTACTATGATCACGCGATCTGACCTGATGGAGAGCAATGATGTGGTCTAACAGAAGAAGAGTGGATTTTATTCCACCTGTCTCTACCTTGTGTCCAGTAGGGATAAATATTTAGACAGGAAGAAAGGAATTGTTAGTAAATAATTGTACAAAAGTCGATTGCTTGGCCACCTCTGTCCTATTCGTGTTTCTACCGTGAAGCAGTTGTGTTTGCATGGCTGTGTTTCGGTTTGAAGGGTGGGATATGGCAGTGAATTTACAGGGTACAGAGGAATAACATCCGAGTCCTCAGAAATGGCAACGCATGGGGGGTGTCATGGGCGAAACAGTATACTCTGTTATGTCCGTGGTACTGCTCGTGTCTATAGGCGACGGTTACCACTTGCCATCAGGTGGGCCGTCAGCTTGTTTGTCATTCCAAGTTATATAAAAAAAAAAGTTTAGCAACCTTATCACAGGTTGACCTTCTAGCGGTTCCCCCTGGAAACCATTGTGATTGACTTATTATTAAATTCGTCACGATGGGCTAACTGACCTGCTTTCATCCTCACCATTCATCCCTCACTGGTGCCTTGCCAGTGTATACCGATAGCGCAGGCGGGGATACCATTTCATTATTTTGGGAGACTGTACTAAAGTCGATTGCTTGAGTACATTTGTCCATTCGTGTTTCAATCGTGAAGTAGTTGTGTTTGCATGGCTGTGTTTCGGTTAGAAGGGTGGGATATGGCAGTGAATTTACAAGGTACAGAGGAATAACACCTGAGTCCTCAGGAATAGAAACGGTTATGTACTGCTCATGTGTATAGGCGACGGTTACCACTTTCCATCAGGTGGGCCGTCAGCTTGTTTGCCATTCTAAGTTGTATAAAAGAAATTATCAAACATCTATACGATTAGATACAATTTTTCAAAATAATATATAGTCTATATTCATCGACATCATCATTTCAGCCATTATCCGTCCACTGTTGGACATAAGCCTCCCCCATACACTGCCATAAAGAACGGTCCTGAGCCACCTGCATCCACTGACTCCCTGCAATGCATTTGAGGTCGTCACTCCATCTAGTAGGGGGTCGGCCCACACTGCGTTTACCCGTACACGGTCACCACTCACACACACAAAATTTCAGTCGATAAATAAAATGAAAGACACACAAATTGGTATAAAAATGCGTTTATTTACAAAATACTTGTACAAAATTCTTTTAATGTATATTTTAATATAATAATATAGTAAATTTAAAATTACAGAGTATTATTGGAGTCTTTGATGGATACGCGATAAATACAGTACTGTCAGTACAGTAGTGTAATCTTAGATTATATATACCAGGGACGTATGCTCGTTTGCCCCGTGTGTTGTAAAAAAAAAGCGCAGGCGGGGTTACCATTCCATTATCATCCATTAAAAAAATATATATACATACTTCACAGTGCTAAAAACGGTACAAACATTTTTGTTGTTTTATTAATAATCCAGATAGCGCAAAAAAAAAAATACATCGAAAATAACGGGTCTCGAAAACCGCGAACGTTGCAAAGTCGCTTTTATTCCGGTACAATTTGATGTACATATAAAGTTTTGTATATACGCGGACAGATGGCGCTAAACTGATTTTTTTTTTGTACCCATAATCTCATTAGAACATAACGAAATAGTGAAACAGAAAAATATTACGGTACACTACATCGACTGAAAAATTTTTGATTTCTTTCCAATTCCAATTAGAGAATAATGATAACTTTTGTGTGGTCCCGCCATAGAATAGGTCACGCCCTTCCTTAACCGTGGGTGTCGTAAGAGGCGACTTTGGGAACTTAACGGTCGAGGAATGGGCATCAGCGTCCCTCTTAAAACATCACCAAAGACTAACTACTGTTACCAAACGTGGCAACTACTCGCAAAAACACCCAGACAGAAGCTTATCTACAGCAATGGACAAGTAATGATTTAAAAATAATAAATATATTGTGGCGCCATCTGGACGTCACGTGGTCAACATCGTAAACTTTAAATGTATTGTATGAATCTATGTGTGTAAGTAAATTATATATTTTCTACAATAATGACTTATATAAATTCATGGCCCATAGGGAAGCGTATACGCGGTATGTGCTTAAAGTCTATTCGAATAGAACGCAATAAAAAAATAACTGCCTTTCATTGAAATTGTCTCTGGAACACTCTCTGATTGCATTCAGTAATGAAATTTGAAAACTTGTATTGTTTTTCAATAGTACTTTATCAAAATGTAAACAAGCGAATACTCAGTCCGACCTTAAGAACAAGGAATTACATAGAAGGAATGATAAAATAAAAACTAAATCATATGGTTGCCTGCTTTCTTCTTATGCAAATATAATTAGTGAAAAGAGGACGAAAGATACACCGTCAGTTGCTATTTTTCTCAATTCATAGCAGGCTAGTGTATAGAAAATGTTATACGGCCGTATAACCCTACCAAATTCAGATGCAACCTGCTCGCATACTTTCTACATAAACTGTGTCCAATATATAATCTAGTAACGTAACATTTGTCATTGACAAATAATTGACATATCAAACATTCGTAGGTGGTAGAGCCACGCTGTAATACCATATGGTATTGCAGCATGAATGGGCCGGCTCGACCGGGGAAGTACCACACCCTCACAGAATACCGACGCTAAGTGGCCGCACTTTTAGTGCGACCACATTCCGTATGGTGAGTGAGGGAGTCCGGAGGCCCATCCTATACCCATCCCTTTCCTTATCCTAAAATCCTCCCCCAACTCCGTCCCCCCATCTTTCAATACCATGGCAGTGGAATTCGGAACCGATACGACAACATAACCTTCAAGAAAAGAGTATATTCCTTTTTAAAAGGCCGGCAGCACACCTGCAATGCCGTTGGTGTTGTGGGTGATCATGGGCGGCGGTAGTCACTTACCATCAGGTGAGCCGCATGCTCGTTCGCCCCCTGTGTTGTAAAAAAAAAAAAATACACCGGCCTGCTATGAATTGAGAGAAATAGCAACTGATGGTGTATCTTTCGTCCTCTTTTTACTAATTATATTTGCATAGGAAGAAAGGAGGCAACCATATGTTTTACAATTTTTATTTTATCATTCCTTCTATGTAATTCCTTGTTCTTAGATCCGCCGGTACTCCAGTCCGCCGCTGTCCGACAGTAGTACGGATCAAATGTGGACCGATCGACTGGACGTATCGATTCGTTACTAATTACAATCTGCGGGTCTACCATGAAACGAAATTCCGAAATTCGGACTCAATTTCGTGTTTTTGTTTATACCAAAGTCGGACCAATAAATGGAGTTTAACATTTCGTTCGTCATACATCCTATCGTAGAAGTCCAAAGGAACAATATTTTAACATTTTTAATATTTCCAAACGGCATGTATTATGTAATTTTCACATCAAATTTGTTTTCGTTTGGTTCCGAAATTTCGGAAAACATTTCATGGTAGGCCCTCGGAGAGTGTTCCCGGGATGATTACAACGAGACCAGGACACATTATCATTAAATTCTGACCTAAAACCGTTTCTAAATAACCCTAGTACGTTTTGAACTTACTACATTAACAGACATATTATAAATTGCACTTTTTTTTTTATTGACAATTGGCAGAGAATTCCGACTTGTTGCTCCAAGGTAAGTAAATAAATAACCAATGAGAATTCAATACACAATATAATTTTTATTTTATTATTATTATTTATTTTTGTGAATGTGTTTTGAGCAATTTCATGTACAAAAAAATGTATATATATATATATATATATATATATATATATATATATATATATATATATGTGTGTGTTATTTGTAAACGAACTTAACGCGTCCTTTTAACGAATTTGGTATTTTTTTATAATAATACACGAAAAAAAGTAATAATATTGAATAGATTACAGATAGAGAGTGATATCAACACTACAGACAGATGGGAAGGGATTGTTAGTAATGGGTAGGTTAGGCCCCGTTGCTATCAGTATACCCGGGGCACCAGTGAAGGATGATAGGTGAAGATGAAGCAGGTCAGTTAGCCCATCGTGACGAATTCAACGAGAATCGTTCACGATGGTTTCCAGGGGGAACCACGTGGAGGTCGACCTAATAGGGCATATTGCTAGCAATGGGGCTGTCAAACTGCATTGCTAACAATCCCTTTCCCCTCAGCACTCAGGTGTTATTCCTCTGTACCCTGTAAATTCACGCCATATCCCACCCTTCAAACCGAAACACAGCCATGCAAACACAACTGCTTCACGGTAGAAACACGAATGCGACAGAGGTGGCCAAGCAAACGACTTTTGTACAAAGTCTCCCTCTGATGGTCTTCCCACGACCGACGTCAGTGTTTTGTTTGTAAAATACGATCATAGACTATTTTTTTACATGTATATTTATTTTCTGCTGTATTATTTCGTTAAAAAGACGTTTTAAGAGTGTTTTTTTTTTTTCATAATCAATGTCATCGTTTACATACATACATACATATCTGTCACGCCTGTCTCACATTAGGGTAGGCAGAAACAATGGAACGCCAAATGCTTCGTCATCGTTTAATTACACTAAATGTTCTAAGAACGAAAAAATGGTTTATAATAAAATCTCAGCTTGTAACAATCGGCAATTCCATTTTCACGGAAAAACATGAATTTATTTTTTCTTATTATAACGCCATCTAGCGAGTTGCACGGGATACTTGTGAAACTTGACACCTTTTCCTAAGGAACATGGGCGTAAATCAAATATTTCGGTGTAAATATTGAAACAAAAAAAAATTAAAGCTTTCAAAACAAACAAACAATAGTTTTTTTTTTTATTTTTTAATTGATTTGATCATTTTTAAATTGTTAATTTTTTTTTTATTGGCACATCATTGTCTATGATTGCTTTGGAATGTTTTTTTTTTTACTTTTTTTCTTTATATTCCGACCAGACTTATATCCCTTGGGGAAAGTTATCCAGTTTCATTCTCACTAATTGCTATATAAATATACATGATATACACTAGGGTCGAATCTGAGCGCCATTTTTCTAAATATATCTTGAAAATTAAAATTCTGATTTGATATCAGATATGGTAAGGACTCATCATCGTTATATCAGCCTTTTAATGTACACTTCTAAACACAAGCCTCCCCTTGGGGGGTTTTGCCAGTAGTTGCCACGCTTGGCAGGCGGATTGGCAACCGCAGTTAGACTTTAGAGATATTCTTGACAACGCATGTGTACTACCATGGACATAACAGAGTGTACTGTTTCGCCCATGATACCCACTATCATGGGCGAAACAGTACACTCTGTTATGTCCATGGTACTGCTCATGTGTATAGGCGACGGTTACCACTTTCCATCAGGTGGGCCGTCAGCTTGTTTGCCATTCTAAGTTGTATAAAAAAAAATTCTAAGAGGGACGCTGCTGTCCATCCCTTGCCCTTCTTTAGTCGTCTCTCACGACACCTACGAGAAAGTGTTGGCTTATTTTATGCCGGGAACGCATTTTTTTTCTCTTTATTTAGGTCAACAAACAGTAGACACAATGACAATATATATATATATATATATATATATATATATATATATATATCTAAATACCAATAATTTTAGTGTCACCAACGACGTTGGCCACCTAATACTGTAAAACAACTACTTGTACAAAATCAAACATATATACATACATGAATGACAGAAATGTAAAGAGGTGCGTACCAGTGATCCACCCAAATCCACGCAAAGAACTTCCAAATTGGTGTTGTAATATTTTAAAAATTAAAATCCATTTACCAGCAATAAATAAGTAAATACAACATCGATAACAATATATCGTTCCTCCACGTCAAGCAGACCACCGACAAGTCACCCGAATGCACCAACACGTTCCGAAATATCAATGTACATGGTCAAGGATTAATATAAATTAATTTACTAATAGACATACGAACAGAGAGGTCTTTAAACTAAGGACCAGTATGATATGAATTCTTAATACACTTAAGTTACAATTTATTAAAAATTTAATTTTACGATAGTCTATAAAATAGTAAATTCTTGAAATTATCATATTAAAAGTATCAAATTAGCATCGTCCCTTTTAAAGCATCTCTAAAGCCTAACTGCGGTTGCCAATCCGCCTGCCAAGCGTGGCAACTAATGGCAAAACCCCCAAGGAGAGGTTTAAGTTCAGCAGTGGACAGTTAAAGACTGATACAAAAAAGATAATCAAATTAAAACATAAAATTACGAGATAGTTTTAGAAAAAATGGCGTCTCATAATTGGCCCGACTATCTATTATACTTTGTATAAAAAAAAATTGTTAATTATAACTTAAAATCATAATTAATACTGTCATTTTGTAATAGTTGGATTTTCCAACTGATCGTATTGTAATATGCATAGAATTATTATAAAAAAAATTTACACGGTCGGCACATATTGCAAGTATCAAGCGCTTGTATACACTTGGCAAATATACTAGTATCCAGTGAGGTTAAAAAGCCTTTTTTTTTTTTACATCGTAATACGATCTGAGAACAAGGAATTACATTAGGAGTGATAAAATTGTCAATTCATAGCAGGCTATTGTATAAAAAATGTTATACGGCCGTATAACCCTACCAAATTCAGATACAACCTGCACGCATACTTTCTACATAAACTGTGTCCAATATATAATCTAGTAATGTAAAATTTGTCATTGACAAATAATTGACATATCAAACATTTTCTATACACTAGCCTGCTATGAATTGAGAGAAATAGCAACTGATGGTGTATCTTTCGTCCTCTTTTTACTAATTATATTTGCATAAGAAGAAAGGAGGCAACCATTCGATTTACAATTTTTATTTCATCATTCCTTCTATGTAATTCTTTGTTCTTAGAATACGATACAGTAATTTGACAGCTGTTTAGAGTGTTTCAAATGTCATTTTCGACATTATGTCAACAATGTTGCCCACTTTCTACCAAAAAGAAAAAAAAATTACCATATATTTTTATTATTTGCTCATTTTCTATACAGCGTATACTGAGAAGGCTCAAGAACATATTCATTAGATATCGTTCCCAATCTACCCAATAATACCGACTTTACACGTTTGCCATCGCTTGCTGTGTTACCGAGCGTGTAAATCTCACATGTTCGACCACTAATCGACTAAATATACTCTTAAAATACTAAAGGTTTGTTCATTAATTTAAAATTATCATAATATAAACTAAATGACGTCTAATTTATCGTATCATGTACAATTTGGATCTTATAATAATTAAGTTTATAAAACTTAAAACTACCCGCGTTTTAATTTATTTCTCACCACGAATTATTAAGGACTTATTAAATATAACTTGTAAAAAGGTTTTAACAATACGATTTGTTTGGGCTGGCGCCTGTATTGGGTGATAAACCTGTATTACAAGTAGAGATCCGGGATCCGGGATCCGGAATGACAAAGACAAAGGGCGGTTATATAATCAGCTATAAGAATTATATTAAAAAAAATATTGTATAAATTAAAACAAATAATAAAAAGAAAAAATAGAGGCTAAAATAAAATTGTCATCAATCTTCTACCAAAAACTTCTATATTTCGAATACTGTAATCCCTAATTACAAGTCATATTGAACTAGAGCTGCCATCCGTTTGGAATTCGCCGGATTTGTCCTAGTTGGAACGGCGTCCGGCGGCCGTCCGGCGTGGGTTTTTGAAAAATGATTTTTTTTTATGACAATTTTGAGTAGTAATATTAGAGAAATATTTGTAGAAAAATCAAATGGACAAGTTTGGGGTATTTTTTTGTGCCAATTTTGATATTTGTGTTAATATTTTTTTTTTTTTAATTTTTCTACCTTCTTTAGGTATATCAGCCCTATCATACTCTGTACTGATTGTCTTTCTTTGTCGTTCGCTTAGTAGTATATTGTAGTTAGTACATTGCCAAAAGAGAAGGAAAACGTTTGAGGAAAAAATTTAACAAAAAAAATATTTAAAATGAAGGTAGACATAAAAAATTGTATATGGCAATGTTGGACACATTTTACGATTAAATGTTACCTACGTGCACCCATTTCTGTTACGCTATTAACTTTACAACTGAACCGAAGCTGTTTTATTTTAAAACTAGCGATCCCTTCCGACTTGGCACGTTTGTTGCAAATAAAACACAGCCCGTGTTACTTAGCTGTTAATGTAGCTTTTTATACGTGAAAAAGATTTAAGAATTTTTTTTTTATGAATCTGTTATAAACAGTAAATCGAATCTTGCCTCTTTAAAATATTTTTTTTTAAATTTACATCTACCTTACGATAATCATTTATATTTTATTAATAAATGCATTAAAATTCATATAAAAATATTGGCATATTAATAATTATTACTCTTAATTTTTTATTTAATCATGATACAGTTAAAGTCAAAGTGATGTCGCTTAAAAATTGAATTATTTTTTTTTAAAAAAAGAGTGTGTGAACGAATCAGTGTCGGGCGCCATTTTTGTTTACAACTGATACGACAAAGCTTGTGTCCCCTACCGCCATCTATTGGGGTTTTTTTTATCGGTATAAAAACTGTTTTATCCTCCAGTTTGAATAACATTCACTTCAGAAAAAAATATTACATTTAACAATTTTTGATGGCTCACAGACATCACAGAGTGACGCCCATGGTACCCCTAATGCGTTACTATTGGTCCTGAGAACTATGATGTCATGACTTCTGTAAAAATATTATTTGTTATAAAAAAAAAATCTTTTTCTAAACTTATTTTTTATGTTTGACATAATTGCGTGCGATCAATAAAAAAGGCGCCAAATTTTGACATGACATCCAATTTTATAACCTCACATTTTTAAAACTGTCAAATTTTGTTTTTTTTTTTATTTAAAAAAGAAATGACTGAATATGTTATAAACAATAGTCAAATCACAGAACGAAGATCGAAAGTGTATTATTATTGTATATTGAAAATGTGTTATAATGTATTGCCTAAAAAAAAAAATGAAAACGAAACGTAATTTTCTATTATGACAATCCACTAAGGCACGGTCCTGGTAAACTTAAAAAACAAACCGACTTTAAACACTCGAAAAAATTTCGAAACGGACTTTATTTCATTAATTTTAAATCAAATTTATACTATTTTAAGTATATATATAAGTATATATAACTAGTCTGGCCATAAATACTGTTCTTTTTTTTTTCAACTTTATAATTATTTTGAATTTGGAACACGTTTATAATTTTAAAAACTTCTTTCGATTTCGCGCCACTTCACTTATTCCTTCGTGTTCATTATCAAACTACAATCAATCTGTACCTTCTACACCAAGTTGGGGACAATATTATTTTATGAAATAAGCTACCGTTATTGAATAGGTTTTGAAAAGTATCACATAATTTTAATTTGCAAAAGATGCTTTTTTTCCATTATACGGTACTATACCTACCTACTTGTACAACAATTAGTCCATTACCTTAAGGTTGTCTTGAAAAGATCGCTCCCAGCAATAAGACCGCCTCACTGTACTTATACAAATGTATCGTTATGTTTGTAAATTGTCTTGCTTATATCCTATATTGTATAATGCAAATAAAATATACTCATTCATAATTATTGATAATAAAATAAAATAAAAAATTAAAAAAATTAAATACCGACAAAAAACATTTCCAAAATCCGTACATCATGATTCTTAAGACAGTTAACCTATTTAATACATTCTACTTGGTCATTTTATGAGGTAATCTAAACATTTAGCCTAAAATAAGGCTGTAGTTGCATGAATCAGTCCTAAATAAGTCACGTGTGGATTACTCAGCCTTTAACAGACCATATCAGAAAAACTCGGCCCTAAATAGGCTAAATCTACAGCCCTTAATAGGCCATATGTACAGAAGTCAGCTTTAAATAGGCCATATCTACAGAACTCAGCCACGAGTAGGCTATAACTACAGAACTCAGCCACAAATAAGCTACATCTACAGAACTGAGCCCTAAATATCTACAAAAGTCTGCCAGATCTACAAAAATCAGCCAAAATAAGGCCATGTCTACGTAACTCAGCCACAAATATACATTATAAAGTTTCTTAATGTGGTCCTAAAAAGGTTATTGCTTTACAGTCTTATTAGATAAGTCAAGAATTATTTCTTTTTTAAAAAATACTGGCCCGGTTCATTTAAAAATTTGGACCTCAAAACAATATATATAAACTAAAAATGGCTCTTGAGCAAGAGGGGGGGGGGGGGATTAAAATGGAATGATTTTGGAATTATCGATCATGGAATTATAATTTGATATTATGAGACGTAGCTAATGAATTATATATCAAAAAATCAGGATGAGACAACGGACATAATCTTAATTAACGAAATGATAGAATCAATGAGTGAGATTGAACATTGATCGTGGGTAATATAAAAAAAAAACTAATACAGTCTGCATGAAAACTAGAGGGAATTTTTTAATTCAGAATAAAACTTAATATAAAAAAAAGAAATTAAAAAGAATATGGTCTGCACGAAGACTAAAGAGAGTTTTTGAATTTAGAATAAAACTAAATAAGAAAAAAAAATCTAAATATGCATGAAAAACCGGAGGGAATTTTTGAATTCCGAATAAAACTTAATATAAAAAAAAAGAAATTAAGAAGAATCTAGTCTGGAAGAAAACCGGAGGGAATTTTTAAATTCAGAATAAAACATAATATATAAAAAAAAAAGAAATTAAAAAGAATCTAGTCTGCAAGAAAACAGGAGGGAATTTTTGAATTTAGAATTAAACGTTTCATTTGTGATTTAACGTATTTGAGTATAAAATGTAAAGTTTTGTTTTTTATTTAATAAGAGACATATCACAATTGTTTATGATAATATCACTAATAATAATTTATAAGGCATGAAGTCCGTTATCTATTTTTCTAAACTTGGCATAATTAGTAAACAATTCTACTATTTTTTTTTTTACTGTATTCATTAATTTAAAAATGGAACAGTCAATTAATATTTTAATAACATATTAAAAAAAAAACACTTATTGAGCAAAGCCTATTTGAACGACAAATGTGCACAGTGTTAATTGATCATGTATGAACTTTTTCATGACAGTGTTATTTTAGACACAGTACATTAGAGCTTAGATTATATAGATACAGTGTCTCCATACAAATGCTTCGAAAAATACGGATCAACTTTTTCATACAATTTTGCATCACAAATAGTTACGAGTGATTCCTTTATAACTTCTATATTTGTTTTGTTTTATAATTTCTGCATCTTTTTAATGCGTAAACACTCATTTTATTTATTAAACAATTAAATATAGATACGTCAAGATACATTGTGTGCGTAAGTATATAGAACACTAATAAACAAAACGAGTCGGTTAATTTAACAATTGGCTGACAAAAAGTTGACCCGTTTCTAAGACTCGAGACTCTATCTATACAATCTAAGATTTAAATAAACACAAACATCGTTGACTGACATATAAAAGAGTAACTTTTTTTATACCACAAAGATGGCAAACAAGCATACAGCCAGTATGATGGTAAACGGTCACTGTAGCCTATGGACGCCCGCAACACTAGAGGTGTCACGTACGCGCTGCCAACCCTGAGGAAACCTTAACATAGCCTTTTTGAAAAAAGGAATGTGCTCTTTTCTTGAAGGTTATGTTGTCGTATCGGTTTGGAAATACTGCTGCTGGAAGTTGATTCCAAAGAGTGGTTGTGCGTGGAAGAAAGTTCCTTGATAAACGCACGGTGGAGGACCGCCACTCGTCCAGATGATTGGGATGAAACTGGTTTGTGGCGGGTTGTACCATGGTGAAAATCAGCAGCGGGTATCAATCCGAACAATTCCTCAGAGCACTCCTAATAATAAATTCGGTAGAAGATGCACAGAGATGCAACATCTCTGCTCAGTTTCAGTGGGTCGAGCCGGACAGTAAGACGCCGATCGTCATCAATTCGAGCTGCCCGACTTTGAATGCGGTCTAACGGAAGGAGTTGGTACTGTGGCGCTCCTGCCCACAGGTGAGAACAGTATTCCATATGCGGCCTGACTTGAGCTTTATATAATTTCAGGCGGTGTTCCCGCGTGAAATACCGTCTCACCCTATTGAGCATTCCTAACTTTTTGGAAGCCATCTTAGCCTTGTCCACCAGATTCCTCCAGATATATTTTTTATGTCACTTAAAATGGCAAACAAGCTGACGTCCTACCTGATGGAAAGTGGTAACCGTCGCCTATAGACGTGAGCAGTACCATGCACATAACAGAGTATACTGTTTCGCGCATGATACCCCGCATGTGTTGCCATTCCTGAGAACTCAGGTGTTATTCTTTTACATAGATATACTAAGATTATTTATTAATTATGCCAAGAATTGAAAAATAGAGTTTATATATATAATAATTTTTTCAATATTTTTTTATGTCTATACCAGTAAATACTGGCACATTCGCCAATGTATTTCAGTGTATTTTAAATTCTACGTATTCGGAATAGAGACTTTTTGTACACAGAGCTTAAACTATGCATAATACTTAAAGTTGCCAGTGTAAAAAATTAAAATCTATAATTACATGAGCCGTCGATCGCCATTTGGCAATTAAATTATTTATATAAAAAAATCCTACTGTACATTCATAATAGCTGAATCATTGTAAAAAAAGCTACCAAAAATATTCGCTACCTGTATGTATCTATTACGTAAGACATTTCAATACATCTGTTATCTCTAATCAACATATGAAGTCCTAGTACCCATAAACACTATTTTGTGATACAAAAACATACTGTAAGTCGCTCGTAATAAAGTTGACAATTATTTAGCTCGTTTTTAGTATACACGCGTATTTTTACTAAACCCGTATAATATGAATCATTAAACATAACATACTAAACACTAACTTTGGCGGGAGAATTGGATATCACGTTGCCGCAAACATCTTACGTAATAAACGGGGCGTCGACATCGGTGTTGCCAGCTTCTGATGCCACTACCAAAACTACTAAAATGGTAGTAAATACTCACGCGGTGGGACCTCTCATTAACTATTGGGCATACCTTCGCCCCACGTACAAAACCAATTATAGTTGAACATGGCCGCGTACGGGTGTTTCCTTTTCTTGTGCAGCCGCAGCGACTCCTCTGAAGCGTACCAGTATTGTGGGAATTTGTCGAACGGGTACTTTTCAGATTCTTTCACGTACGGCTCCGAAGGATCGTCTGTGGAAAATGTTTTTAGATAAATAGATAATTTATTTGTATTACTTAATCATCATCCGTTAGCTGTCCATTGTTGGGCGGAAAGGGATTGTTAGTAATGGAGACTGAGAATCCCATTGCTAGTAATATACCCAACCAGGTCGACCTCCTCGCAGTTCTCCCTGGAAACTATCATGGTTAATTCCTGATGAATTCATCATGATGGGCTAACTGGCCTGTTTTCATTCTCATCTATCACCCTTCACTGGTGCTCCGCCAGCGTATCCCGTTAGCGCAGGCGGGGTTACCATACCATTTTCACCCATAAAAAAAAACTGTTCATTGTTGAACATATGTTCTCTCTCTTGGCAATTGTGCCAGCAGTTGCCACGCTTGGCAGGCGAATTGGCAATCGCAGTTAAGCTTTGGAGATGTTTTAAGAGAAACACTGCTGTTCATCCCTCGATCGGTAAGTTCTCTTAGTTGCTTCTTAAGACACCCACAGAAAAGGGACTGGCTGAAAACCAGCGCTATTTAGCACATTCCCACTTTCCATCAGGTGGGCCGTCAGCTTGTTTGCCATTTTATTTATTTATTTATTTATTCATTAGTACAAATATGTGTACATGGCGGACTCAATGCTAAAAGCATTCTCTCCCAGTCAACCATAGGCAAGTGTCAGAATACACGAATGCGGTACTACTAATTATTGATATACATACATACTAAAATTACATATATAAACGAATAGATATATATGAATAACAAATATACTTACACATATATGATATATACTATATTATACACGAATTTGGGAATAATACAAAGCACTTACTGCTCAGATAAAGATAAAAAGTGAGCGTGAACACTTTTTTTTAAAGACGGTTTAGTCGGTAGTCTCTTAATGGCATCGGGAAGCGCGTTCCAGAGTCGTGAAGAATGTAGGAGAAAAGAGTTTGAAGCGTAACCAGTACGGTGAGAGGGGAAAGATAATTGGGAGCCATTCTAATTTGTATAGAAAAAATATATACATTATCTTAATTATACAGACGAAGTCGCGAGTAAACACTAGTATTATGACAAAAGGTATACTCACGTGGCGGTAAACAGTAGTAACAGAATATCCTGTGCCGCCTGCCCTCGTGCGACTCCAGGTGTTTCTTGTGGTGTTTGCGGCGCGTGGACACGTGGGGACAGCAAGGACACGGGATGGCGAGCTCGCGCGGCACGCTGCCGTGCCGCTCGGCCGCGTGCGTCACCAATGTTGACACCACGCGGTAACCCTGTTGACATACGGATATAGATTTTGTGAAATAAATAAAACAGTGAAACAGACTGTTCAAATACAAATTCCCTAATACTTTAGCCAAGGGAGGGGGGGGGGAGGGATTGTTAGCAATAGAATTCGACAGCCCCATTGCTAGCAATATGCCCTATTAGGTCGACCTCCACGTGGTTCCCCCTGGAATCCATCGTGAACAATTCTCATTGAATTCGTCACGATGGGCTAACTGACCTGTTCTTTCATCTTCACCTATCATCCTTCACTGGTGCCCTACCAGTGTATACCGTTAGCGCAGGCAGGGTTACTATTCCATAATCACCCATTAAAAAAAATCCCTCGCCCTCCCTTAGTCGCCTCTTACGACACCTACTAGAAGGTTCCTTTAAAAGGCCGGCAGCGCACCTGCAATGCCGCTGGTGTTGTGGGTGACCATGGGCGGCGGTAGTCACTTACCACCAGGTGAGCCGCATGCTCGTTTGCCCCTTGTACATTCTATACTGGAACCACACGGCGACTCTTGTTTATTTCTTAGTTACCTTAAAACAGTGTTCACACCGATACGGGAAGTTCTTCCACTTGGGATTCTTCTTTCTGCTAAACACCATTTTATAAGGCTCAGCCGGAAACCAGTCTTCGGGGTCCAGGAGTAACTCCACGAGCTCTGTACCTGCATATGGCAAACACATTTTTAGAGGTCCATACCTCCAAAAGGGAAACAGAGGGCCTACCATGAAATATCGAAAACGAAATTCCGAAATTTCGGAGCCGAACGAAACACGAATTTGATGTTAAAACTACATAATACTTACCATTTAAAAATATTAAAAATATGAAAATATTATTCCTTTGGACTTTTATGGTGGGATTTATGGCGAACGAAATGTTAAGCTCCATTTAATGGGCCGATTTAGATATGAACGAAAACACGAAATTGAGTCCGAAACTTCGGAATTTCATTTCATGGTAGGCCTCCAGAACCCTTATAGGATCACTTCGTTGTCCGTCCGTCCGTATGTCAGGACCTTTTTTTTTATACAACTTAGAAGATGACGGCCCACATGATGGAAAGTGGTAATCGTCGCCTATACACATGAGCAGTACCGTGGACATAACAGAGTATACTGTTTCGCCCATGATACCCCCCATGCGTTGCCATTCCTGAGGACTCGGGTGTTATTCCTGTGTACCCTATAAATTCACTGCCATGTCCCACCCTTCAAACCGAAACACAGCCATGCAAACACAACTGCTTCACGGTTGAAACAAAAATGGGACAGAGGTACCCAAGCAATCGACTTTTGTACAAAGTCTCCCTCTGGTTCAGCAATGTTTCAAGTTTGCTGAGTATAACTTACCTTCGGGAACTGTGACTTTTGGAACGGCCGGAGACGATATGACGGTGGTTGTTGGTGGTACGGTGGTGAACACCTTCGACGCTGCCAGCAAGCTGGTCAGGATCGAGTTCTGTGCCTGCAAAATATATATTTTTCTTTTTTTACTACAACTGAGTTATTATGTTACTAACAGGAGCAGATTTTACTACCGAAAAAAAAGGAAATTGCTACAGTTTATGTGTATGTCATTATTGTATTTTTAAAACTTATCGTTAATTTTTATCCATGCCTATATATATGTACTAGCTTTTATTCGTAACTTAGGTTACGGGACAGGAATATGTCTACTGACAAACATTTATACTCATTCTCCCATTTATATATATATATATATATATATATATATATATATATATATATATATATCGAAAAATATGCAAATGCACCAATTCTGTACCAAGAAAGTATTTTATTCCACTAATTACAGTCCTCCCTCTCAATATCGGTCCTTCGAGCCGGATATGAACCAGCGACTGTTTTTTTTTCTAATGGATGATAATGGAATGCTAACCCCGTCTACGCTATCGGTATGCACTGGCGAAGCTCCAGTGATAGGTGATAGGTGAGGATGAAAAAGCAGGTCAGTTAGCCCATCGTGATGAATACACTTGGAATTTAGCACGATGGTTTCTAGGGGAGACCACAGGGAGGTCGACCTGTTAGGGACCTGTTACAATCAATAGAGTATATTGATAGCAATGGGGCTATTAGACCCTATTACTAACAATCCCTTTTCCCCCACCAGCGATTGTATCCGCTTTCCATCAACTGGGAGATGATCAGTTTTTATGCCATTCCGAGTTGTACAAAACTTACCTGCAGCAAAGCTCCATTAGATAAACTACACGACAGATCAACTTTGGGTTTTCTCTTATACCCCTTCGGAGGGCCTCTCTTCTTCGCTATCTCTCCGTTCTTCTTGTATCTGACAACCTCGCCTGTCTCCGCACTCTTCGTGGGTGTTGGTACGGGTGTGATCGTTAACTTTGAGGGCAACGAGTACCTGCTGTGCAACGATTTGACAACACTGTTGCCAATATTGTTTGCTGTCAACGATAACGGGTTGGCTAAGTTTAACGGATTGTTAACGAATTTGGGCAATGTATTCGTTGTGGTGGGGAATATTGAGAGAGAACTGGGCGTGTTGAAGGCGGGTATCTGGTAGACTTTCAGGTTTAGCGATGGACTCCCGTACGTCTTCAGTCTTTTGGCATTCGGCTCGTCATCGCTGGATTCCGACGGTGTGTTCGTGTTCAAAGGATCTTTGTCCGAGAATGGATCCATGTGTGGCTCTGTTTCTTGGATGCAGAACATCTGGAAAAAGCGATAAAAGATACTGTTTTATTCATTTACTAACTTTCAGCCATGACTTTGTTTACACGACCAGGATATGGATATCACTGACTGGGTATAAAAAGTAGCCTATACCATTTTTCATCCCATACCTGTATACCGTGGGGAAAGGAATTGTTAGTAATGGAGAATGAGAATCCCATTGCTAGCAATATACCCAACCAGGTCGACTTCCTCGCGGTTCTCCCTGAAAACTATCATGGTTAATTCCTGATGAATTCATTCATCCATTCATTCATCATACGTATCCCGATAGCGCAGGCGAGGTTACCATACCATTTTCACCCATAAAAAAATACCTGTATACCACATTTCTTAATGATTGGTTAAGCCATTAAGACTTTATAAGGTAACAAACACACTTGCACATTTATAATATTAGTAAGGAATTTATTTTACACTTATACATATAACTTTATACTCCTCAGGAATGGTAACACATGGAGCGTACAAGGTTAAGAGAAAGACTTTGTGCATAAGTCGTTTGCTTGGGCACCTCTGTCCCATTCGTGTTTTTACCGTGAAGCAGTTGTGCTTGCATGGCTGTGTTTCGGTTTGAAGGGTGGGAAATGGCGTGAATTTATTGGGTACAAAGGAATAACACCTGAGTCCTCAGGAATGGCAACACATGGGAGGTATCATGGGCAAAACAGTATACTCTGTTATGTCCATGGTACTGCTCACGTCTATAGGCGACGGTTACCACTTTCCATCAGGTGGCCCCTCAGCTTGTTTGCTATTTTAAGTTATATTAAAAAAAAAGCTTTTTTCTACAAGTAACAGAAATCAATTGAAAATCCACAAAAAAAAGCGACTGTCTTTGATTATGGCAAAACCAGTTATTTTGAATTAAAAACTAATAAATTTGTAAATATATCTATTCAGATAAAAAAAAACCATAATGTTCAAAAGGAACGAGGTGTTCAGGTTGACCCTACTTCTTACATTTATTACCTCATAACTCCATTGTCGATATTGAAAATTCTTTTTTTTTTTTTAAAACATGTACTTTCAGATTGGTCTAATAGAGATTTCATCAAAATCGGTTCAGCAGTTTAGTTTTTAAATCAAAATAAAAGGTTTTGTCACAATTGAAAACAGTTTTCTTTTGTGGAACACAATTTTTAATTATTTTACCTGAATTCAAACATAAGGACATCCCCCGACTCTTAATTCAAAATGAGGTGGGCAGAGATAACTTTGTTACTATCAATGTGCAATTGGAGCATGTTACTAATTGAAATAGATTCTAGAAATCTATATCTTGATATCCCACTTTTGGACATGTGTGTGTAGATACTTCTATAATAAAGGTATCTCTAAAAGGAAAATATTAACCTATAATTAACAAAGTGACCAGCAGCATGATTTAAATTCTATATATAATACTATTGCAATAGACATACAGACAGAATTTATTCAAAAAATAAATTCTCAAATCAAATAATGTATTTCTTAATTTTCGTATCAGTTATAAATACTGGCTGGTTAAATTAAAATAAAAAAAAAAAAACAATAAAAATGCTCGCCGGTTACACGCATGGTAGTTTACAAAAAAAAATAAACAATACATACTATTCGATATTCAAATTTTCAAACTGATTCCAAATTGTACTGGATCACATCATAACTCATAAAAACAGCCACCGACGTTTCTGTATCACAAAATGGCGTATTAATTTATAAAAGTACGAAACAATAAGACGGATCTCATAGAATAACTGCACACGCTACTAAAAGTTCCGTATAACTACAATTTGATCTAATTAAAGCGAAATGTCCACGGTTATAACAGAATATCTCACCTTAAACAATCTTAATGTACAAATATTTTAATAAAATAACTAATAATCACAAAATAATACTGTTTCATGTATGATTCTATTGTTTAAACAATAAATTAAAAACGAAACACAGAATAAAAGGTTATAACTTGGTTAATAATAACAAGTTTCAGTCGGGCAGTCCATTCAACGCGGCGACCCGTTATTAATATGTCGTTTTATTATGAACCTTAAAGCAATAACATTCCCAAGTAATTCTAGACTGTAACGTGAGGTGTTAAGGTTTAAATTATATTTGTTTTATTATTTTATTACGTTAGTAAAGGATAACATACGCTATTCGAAGCGTCACCTATTGTTTGACATTGCGCATCGGGGTTGCACACGTAGAAATAAAATTTCCTTTATTTTTCAAAACATAAATTTATTCCCATTTATTACTTTACTTTTCTATACAAATATTATAAAGAAGAAAGATTTGTTTTTTTTTTTGTGTTTATAATGGATATGTAATGGATAAAACCATTCAATTGTTTTTTTTTTCACCTATTAAAAGCTGTACCTATTCTGTAGCTGCAAGTGACATAGGCCATATATTATTTATTAAAAAAAAAAATAGAAATCCCTACGCAATTTACAATAATGTAATCTAAAGAATCAACTATTTTCTTGTTAAAACTAATATAAAATACTAATTTATATGTCTAGCTACTCGTGTAAAACTGAGTAAGTTATATTTCCATTTTTTGGTTCTATCTCGGAATGATGTTCATTATAATGATCTTTATTTTTTTTTTTATTAATATGTTTTACGGCTCTGGATACATGTCCTTTTGATCCCGACCATATTTTTTTTTAATAAAGAATGTTGCCAGGGTAATCCTGTTTTTGTCACTACATTGTGAATATTAAAAGTTTAATTGTTACCTATTTACACACACACATGCACGCACGCACACACACACGCAAGCAATTACGAACGGGCGCACGCACACAGGCACGCACGCACTCTCACATGAATTTAGTAGTTATGAAATCATATTTTAAAAATAAATTTGTATAAACTTATAGGTAAACAGTTATCTGTAGTACTAGAAAGCCTTCTTTAATTTCTGTATGCATGTATTTGGCAACACAATTACAAGACAAGACAAGACAAGACAGACTCGGCTTAGTATAGGAATCAATGTTAAACTTTGTGTATATACACACTTTGGTAATAAACACCAGAGGGAGACTGTACAAAAGTCGATTGCATGGCCACCTCTGTCGCATTCGTGTTTCAACCGTGAAGCAGTTGTGTTTGCATGGCTGTGTTTCGGTTTGAACGGTGGGATATGGCGTGAATTTACAGGATACTAAGGAAGGAAATAACATCCGAGTCCTCAGGAATGGCAACGCATGGGAGGTATATCATGGGCGAAACAGTATACTCTGTTATGTCCACGGTACTGCTCATGTCTATAGGCGACGGTTACCACTTTCCATCAGGTGGGCCGTCAGCTTGTTTGCCATTCTAAGTTGTATAAAAAAAAATATTCTGTGCGGTTCCCCCCAAAAACAATTATACGTAATTTTTATCGAATTTCTCACGATGCACTAACTGACCTGCTTTTATCTGCATTTATTACTCCTCACTGCTGCCCCTCCTATGTACACCGATAGCGTTATAGAGGTTGCTATTCTATTATTATATATTTAAAAAAAACCATAGCTTGGTGCATGAAGTAAAGTCTTTCCGGTGCTAGGTTCTTCAAAAAGGCAATAAAGAGATTTCTTCAGCGTCGACAACGCATGCGGAATACCCTGGTATTGTTGGCATTCATAGGTTTAGGTAACCGCTTACTATCAGATGGGCTGTATGCTTGATTGCTATCTCATTGGTGTAAAAAAAAAAACTAAGTACAATAAAAAATGAAAATGGCAATAATTGAGAATTTTCTTATCTATGATATTTTTATTTTATTTTTTAAAAATATGCAGATGTTGCCATTTGTATAATTTATTTCCATTTTATATTTTGTTGACGTAATAATTTTATAAACTTAAGTATTTCGTTAAACCTTAAGTATGTAACACTAGGAGACTTCCCTCGACTATATATTGTTTTTTAAGTAACTTAGAATGACAAACAAGTTGACAGTTCACCTGATGGAGTGTAGTAACCTTCGCTTATAGACGTCAATGATAATATATCATCACCATCATCATTTCTTTTCTATTCATTTCATGAACTGTAGCCACATGGATTTTAATTATTTTATATATTACTAAACTAGCTTTTGCCAGGGACTTCGTCCGCGTTTCTGTCGTTTTTCGTAAAATAAGTAGTCTATGTCCTTACTCACGGTTCAGTGGTTTTGATGTAACAGATACATTTCCCTTCACTGCTCTGCTCCTATTGATCGCAGCGTGATGAAAAGTATACTATAACCTGCCCAGGAGTATGAAGAATAATTGTACCAAGTTTCGTTAAAATCCGTCGAGTAGTTTTTGTTTTTACAACGAACATACAGACAGACAGACAGACAAAAATTTTACTAATTGCATTTTTGGCATCAGTATCGATTACTAATCACCCCCTGACAGTTAATTTCGTAATATATTTCATGTACAGAATTGACCTCTCTACAGATTTATTATAAATATAGATTAACCTGACTTTATAGATACTCATTAAGGTGTCCAAGCAAATGACTTTTGTATAAAGACTCCCTCTGGTAAATGTTGATGTTCTACAAATACCATTATTTTGTCAGCCATCGATTGTAATATTTCCAATAATGAAATTTTAAACTTTGATCTCACAGGGAATAAATACCACAAAAAAAAGACAAAAAATAATTCAATAATCATTTTATTCGAAAACTTAATCTAAATTCCAACATCGTTTACAAAGAATGCATTTTTTTTTCTCAAAATAATAATAATAAAAAAGAAATAAATTACTAAGGACTAGATGACAACGCTGTACACTGACCAAGCTCGAAAAAAAAACAAAAATTGAAAAAAAAAAAACAAAGTCATATCACATGAAACTTGGTCTATGACGTGTTGATACATACTCAAAAATAACCCTAAGGCTGTCTTGTAAAGATTGCTCTCAGCAATAAGACCGCCTTACTGTACTTGTACAATTGTATCGTTACATTTATGAATTGTCTTGCTTATTCCCTATATTGTATAATGCAGATAAAGTATACTCATTCATTCATTCTTGTAAAACGAGAATTAAAGAAAGAAATAATCAAATAAATTCACAGATTATGTCAATTATCAATCGACTTAAAAAAGAAGCAGATTCTGAATTCGGTTTTTTTTTACCTCATAACTCCATCAGTCGTATACCGATTTGGAAAAATCTTTTTTCATCTGAAAGGATCAAAATCAGGCTTACAGACTGGTCCCATAGACATAATATCAAAATCTGTACTGTAGTTTAGTTTTTTAATGCTTGATCGATTTAATTTTTTTTTTATTTGTTCACTATAAATGTAATTTAAAAGAAGAAAGTTGAAAAAAGGATTTTTTTACTTTTTTTTTCTTACTTTTTTTAGTTTCTCATAACTTTCATTTTTCAATTGAACTTTAAGGTTAGAGTTCAGGTGAGAAATTGAAAAATATTAGGCGACTTTGTATGGGAATCACTTCGTATTAAATTCTTGGAAAATGTTCAATTTTAATTTTGGAACGCTCTCTTAAGACATAATTTTTACATGTATTTTCAAGACCACAGAAGCATATAAAACCATTAGTATGTTATAGTTTTTAGAGCGAAATAAGAGCATTTTAAGTTTTTTTTTTATTACAAGAATTTTAGGATTTGAATTCAAATATATATAAATTCTGGTTATGTATCAACACACCATCATAATTACGTCATATATTTACAATTATCTTTCCCTTAAAAACTTATTTTAGATTTGGCTTGTGAATTAATCGTGGTGTTTTTTTTTTTATTTTACTGGTCACACTGTTTTGGTATTTTGGTTATGTGAACGAAAGAGGTAGCTGCTCTCTCATTGACAATCATTCTTATTCACTCACGCGCACACTCACAGCTGACTCTTTCTTGTATTATAAATAAATAAATTGTATAATTATTAAGGCGAGATTCTAGATCATATTTCCTATTAAACAAAAAAAGAAACATAGGGACTTATTGTACGGGTCTGAAATTCACAAATAAGTATATTTATTTACTCGTAAATCTAAATCAGGGGTTTTAGATTAAATCGGTTAGTTGACCGCCTGAAAAGAGATAGATAGATGTTCGCGTATTGAACGCGAGTGACTGAGATAGAAACACTATATATATCACACGAACTGTAGACCATAGATAATGAATTTTTTTTAACATAACTACTACAGAGTATTCACGTGTCACTCTAACACATAGTTCGTTGTATGACATTCTACATACAATTGTCATACAGCCAATTATGTGTCTCTTTCTCTACACCTCAGACGTATGACAGATGTTAAGATTTATAAATGGGTAAATATTTCAATCGGATTCATTTCAATATTATATATTAAATAGACGATATATAATTTTTTTTTTTTTTCTTTTTTTGTGGCGTTCACCCCGATATTAGGGTATTTTGCCAACGATATATAATATATCCATTCTTGAGTCGATATACAGATATTGCAACTAAAATACATAGATACAGTTATATATTACCCATCCTTAATTGTACAATATTTCGTCTTAAGTGGGCCATACATGAGTCGTCTGAGAAGTCTTGTACTTTTTAACAAAAAATATAATACACAAAAACATCAATTTGTAATGTCAATTATATGTAACATAGACACGTTATATTAATTAACATAAAAGACGTTCCAAATAGATTTTTAAGTTAGTATTCTTTTTTTTACTAAATTATTTATAATACACAGTATATGTATCTCAGTATTGCCATCATAATAATATTATACAAAAAAAAATTAAATAGAACAAAACTGGCAAAATGTTTGGTATAAACATATTGTTGGTATAGAGGAATGATTTAATTATTTACAAATTTACATTAATGATGCTTTAAAACTCATACCAATTAAAAAGAAAAAAAAAAAAAACTTGTAAACATAATATTGATTTTCTAAACTCGTTTCTGGGAAAAACATCTTTATATGGGGAAAAAAATGTTCCCAAAAATATAGGACATAAATCTATCAAATAAAAACATATTTTCAGATAAGTAAAACAGATATACGAGTATTAAAACATCATTATAAAAAGTAGATAAAGAAGTCAGTCAATGGTTAGATAACATTAAAAAGGCATTTTACTTTTAGTCTTATAAAAAAAAAAAGTAATAGACTTCCTTAGAAGATGCCAATTTAGTGTTACTATTAAGTTATTAGTCAAATCAGCTTTTTAAACAATACAAACTTACAATAAGAACGGAATTGCATTACGTGATACAGATTTTGGTATTGTCAACGCAAAACAATTGAGCAATAGAGGAATGGTTGATTTTTTTACATACAAATATTCAAGAAACATCATTCTAATAAAGCCGTGTATATCTCTATTGTCGAAAATGTCTTATGATATTTTCTCCGTGTAACGAAATCTTTAGGAAAATACTGGCAACATTCGAGTGTTATTCTTAAAAAAAAGATAACGCTTGGCTTTGGCGCCAATTTGATAATTAATCTGTGATTACGATATCAAATTGGCGCCAAAACTAATAAATTCTAACCTAACACTCTTTAATTTTTCCCCTGTCATTCGTTATTCGCGATATGTGATATTTAGCAGTGGCATTAGCGTAGTAGCTTGATATCTACCAGCTCGTTTCGGCTAAATTCATAATCTTCTTTCTAGAGAAAATAACATAAAGACATTTTTTAGGAACTCCCGTTTGTTGGACCGGAGCGATAGGTAGCTTTTACTGTAATGTTAATTTTATTATCGATACTAAACTTAGATTATATAGATAGAGTGTCTCCATACAAACGCTTCGAGAAAAACGGGTCAACTTTTTCATACAATTTTACATCACAAATAGTTATGAGTGATTCCTTTATAACTTCTATATTTATTTTGTCTTATAATTTCTGCATCTTTTTAATGCGTAAACACTCATTTTATTTATTACATAATTAAATATAGATACGTCAAGGTGCATTGTGTGCGTAAGTATATAGAACACTGGTAAACAAAACGAGTCAGCTAATTTGACAATTAGCTGACAAAAAGTTGACCCGTTTTTGAGGCTCGATTCTCTATCTATATAATCTAAGATTTTAAAAATATTTCTAAATTATTCAGTGTATCTATCGGACGATCGCACCGGCTCATCGAGCTTACTGGTGACCCGAGAGCTACTTTGCGCAAAATATTAAGTTTAGCAATCCAAAGAGGTAATACTGCCAGTATCTTGGGCACGCTGCCTCGATAATGGTGCGTTGGGAGATTATTTATAATTACCTAAATTTGTGTTGTTATTATGAATTACATATTACATCAAAAAAATATCTGTTAAGTATATTAATATTGATATTTAGTAGAATTAAAAATTAAACCATTTTGAAAAAATAATTATCTTAGTAGTAAACAGAGGGCTTACCATGAAATATTTTCGACGAACGAAATAGAAATTTGATGTCAAAATTACATAATACATGCCGCTTAAAATTATTAAAAATATTAAAATATCATTCCTCTGGACTATTAGGATAGGATTTATGATGAACGAAACGTTAAGCTCCATTTACTGGGTTGATTTAGGTACGAACAAAAACACGAAATTGAGCCCGAAAATTCGGAATTTCATTTCATGGTAGACCCCCGGAACAGTCGAAATACGAAAAATATATTTATCTAGTCTTTTTTTTTAAAATCAAGTGAGCCACATGCTCACTTGATGGTACGCTGCCCATCAGCATCTACAACACCAGAGGAATTGCAGATGTACTGCCAGCCTTTTAAAGAGGAATATGCTCTTTTTTTAATGTTATTAGCTGTATGAGTCGAGTTACTATGGGGGGGGGGGGGGGGGGGGGGGACAATTGTCTTTGGGAAGAAGGTCGGGAAAAAACTGTCTAAGATAACTTTTGATTTGATTTTGTGTAAAATTGCTTCTGTAGCACAGCTCCTACCGCTCCGACAGTACGCCTTATTGGTAACATTAACAATAGAAATATCAATAATTATTATTATATGCTTGCTAAATTATTAAATGCATTAAATCTATCACGGTAAGTCATGGACGTAAATACGTAGTTCGCAGCCGAAATTGTCTACACACATCCCTAAAAGGGATCATTTTTTTCTTTTTATTATTGCTATTTTGTACAAACTATATTCTGAATAATCCGCCTAAAAACACAAACAATAAAAATCAACAATCAGAGATATTTTTTTGTTAATTTTTCTATGTAATTTGTAAAAGGGTGGACGAAGGTATAAACCTCATACAGCCTAGTCCGACCTTTTTTTTATAGATAATAAAATCAAATGGATTAAAAAAAAAGAAGAGATGTGTGCAGTTAATAAATATCGATTTAAAATCAATCTTAGGATTAATTATATATCCTTTATTAGTAAAAGATTTCAGCTAAACATTACTCAATAAACAATTTAACTGCATAAACATAAGTATAGTTACATAAACGATCTTATTTTTTTTCCGTTATTTACAATCTACTCTGGATTTTTTGGCGGCAAACAAAAAATTTTTTTTTTGTGGTCAACTTCCTTTGGTACCTCTATTACCATATAATTTGTATACGAATCTTTTTTAGACAATTGCCATTTTATTTTATATTATTATATATTAATATTTAATATGTCATCAACTTAATATTAACATCATATAAAAAAAAGACGCATCTCAATTTTTGTTCCTAGGAGTTACCCGTGACGTCAATTCTATCAATACTTTCGAATATTTATATCAAATTGTCCTTCTTTTGGAATATTATTTATATACTTGCAACTATCGGTCAGTGGGGGGGGGGGGGGGGGAAGGGATTGTTAAAAATGGGGAGTAAGGGCCCCATTACTATCAATATACCCTGGCCAGATCAATCTCCCTGGAAACCATCGGGATTAATTCTTATTCAATTCCTCACAACTATTATGGATCATCGATGATCCCAATTTACCTGTTTTCATCGACACATGTATCTCTTATGTGATTTTTAAACAGATCCGTTATATTCGAGTGATTAAGCTTTAGACTTATACGTAAATGTCCCAGATTACGTTAACAAAGTGTTCGTTACAAATTAAAAAAAAAAAGCAACTAGACATTTGTCGCAATGTTTGAATAATCGAATAATCAATATATACTTTCGTATTTTTTATTTTATTAAAGGTATTTATTATTATTGTTATTATATTATATCATTTTTGAGAACTTATGCACATAGCGTCAGATTTATGTCATTACAGATTCATAATTAAAAAAAAAATCATAGAGTATTTCATAATCAGAATAATGTATTATTCCACGTAGATTAGTAGCAGAACGATTAATTTATCTGCAATGGAAAAGGCAAAGGAACTAAGTCATACAGCCTGACCATTAGAATTTCATATAGATATAAATACCGTTTTCGGACTCATAGATACATTATAATACACTAGCAATTATATACTACATATGTACATATATTTTTAATACAGGTAGCCTCGTCAGATGATTTTCAAAGTTTATAATCGTAGATAGAAGTTCTATTGTATCAATCAACTCATAGATAAAGAATTATTTCTTTATCTATGTAAAAATCAAAGACAATAAAGAACAAGATTTTTTTTAAATATCTCTCATGTGTCTCTGTCCTTTTGAGTATTATGTTCAAAAAAAGATAAAAAAAAAAATAGACGACCTCAGAATTGAATTACGAAAAAAAAAATGGATAATAAATTTGTTAAGTAGTTTTTTTTTATAACTTAACGATAACATCCTCTGTTTAATCACATTATTGCATATTTATATCAAATGTCCTTTATATATATATATATATGCATTAATTTCAAACTTTTTGGTATCGTTTGTTGTGAATATTAATATCAACTGATCCATGAAATGTTTTGGCCTAAAATAAACCTATTTTATTATAATTCTACAAGTATCTAGTACAAATTATATAACAATATATTTAAATATTAATGGTAAAGTTCACCATAATATCATTGTAGAATAGTTACGGACATCTATTACATAAGTAGTCATTACCAGTCATAAAATGTGTTGCCAGGTTTAAATTAAAAATGTAAAATTGTCCTAAACATTGGGGTAATATATGAAAGCCAAGGTAATATATGAAATATATTGGTTGGTATTTTTGTTAATTAAAAAAAAAAAGAAACTTTTAATTGGTGTAATATGTATCGTAGATATTTTTAATTAAAACCTGACAACAATATTCACGTTACGATGGCCTGATCGTCTAATGAGTTGCATTTTAAATTCAGAATACTTTACAGATTCCATATTCGAATTCCCCGACTTTTTTCAAAACATTCAAAATTACCATCTAAAATAATTCTCAATTCTCTTTAAATATTATTCCAAAATCAAATTTTCCTAACAAGCGAACCTAAAACACCTAGGTATATTGTTTTTATATATTATTTATGATATTTCCACTATTATGTTCTTATCTTACTAATAACTAAGTCATAAATATACACTAGTGCATTGATTATCAGTATAATTATATAAAGTATTGGAACGCCATTAAAATATCGCCAGTATTTTTTCCTTATTAAAAAAAAAACACCCGCCAACTGATTTATTTCATCTGTCAAAGATGAGGCAAAGTTTCTAACTCATACAGCCACATATAAATCTTAAAGCTGTTTATTTTAATTTGAATAAATTAATTGAGTTGACTGATATTATTAATGACAATCATTTCATCATTGGTTGATGACGGAAGCAATATTTTTTTAGCGTTCCAGAATAAAAAATGGCGCGAATTTCACGTATTGTATCTACGACAATTAATAAGTAGCAAATAAATTTGTAAATACAATGAAAAGTATAGATAATAAGATATGTTTCACCAGACTTTTAGTAGTAAGAAAACGGATAGAATATTGCTTACTCTTTCGTGTATTTAAGGAGTATATATCTACTATCTCGCTTACACAATCGATTTGTCTCCACACCTCAGCTTATTTGGCTTCCCGAGCTCAATACATTAGAACTTAAATTAAGAACATACCAACACAATCATAATCATCCATTCGTACGGCACACACACACATGCATACGTGAAATTCGCGCCAAATCGTTCACCACAGAGTATATAATACATGTAACCTCAACTTTTTGGCATAACATAACAGCGCCATCTAAACACATCAGGACTTGTATGTGCGTATAACATCTTTGATCTGTGCCCGACAGAGGGGGCACTGACCCCCACCCTTCCCCCTCCACTGTTGTACAGCACATCTGTAGCACATGCACATATGTCCGCACATATATAAGACGCTGTCTATGGGATTCTCGTAGCAAATGGTGCATTCAGTTCCTGTAAGGTTACCTTCGCCGATGACAGAGTAGATGTTGTGACCTCTGCTGGTCGATGGTCCGTTTTGAAGTCTATCAGCCAGTCTCAGGGGTTCGGTGTGGCCGTTGGGCATTTGGACCTGTTCGTTGCAGTTGTTCTGGCTGGTGGATGAACACTGCGCGTCTGTTCTCGGACGTGGGAACGGTTGCTGTGGTATCGGAGCGCACGGGGGGCTCGATATGGGTTGGAGGCCGGCCAAGCACAGTTGAGACGAGGCTTGGATTGGCTGGAAATAGAAATTAAGATTATGAGCTGTGATTATGCTGCTACGAAGTGCTGGAACAATACCTCCGCCATTGTAAGACTGTCCTACACTTCGTTCCTTCAGATGTAATTATAGAAAGTATCTTCTAAATATACAGAAATAATATTAAATATTACCAGAGGGAGACTTTGTACAAAAGTCGATTGCTTGGGTACCTCTGTCCCAATAGTATTTCAACCGTGAAGCAGTTGTGTTTGCATGGCTGTGTTTCGGTTTGAAGGGTGGGATATGGCGTGAATTTATTGGGTACAGAGGAATAACACCTGAGTCCTCAGGAATGGCAACGCATGGGGGGTATCATGGACGAAAAAATGAAGGGGTATTCACGGCGAATCCCAGTCATATAAAAACAAGAAAATACTCACCTCGATATAATGAGCGCTGGCCAACGTGAGCCCTTGCTGATTCGCCGCGTTCTGAGCACCATTCTGCGGTGGCAGGCTCACCACAAGCACAGTGCCTCCTGCCCCTGTAGTTATCGGTGCTGCCGACCCAGTCAACACCCTTAGTTGTTGCGGAGGCGTCTGCGCTTGCTGAGTCACCTGGGAACTCAGCATCCTGACCATTTGCGTGGCCCCATATATATCCACAAACGCCCACAGCCTCAAAGTGTGGTCCACATGCATGACAGTCATAGGAGTGGACCCGTTTCTACTCACACGGACCTCTCCGTCCATGGTCAAGGTGACAGCTAGCTCGTCACCTCTTCTTAAACCATTCGCAGCATCTCTCCTCACCACCCAATATTCTGGACGGTCTAATAGCAACTCCGCATCATCCGGCAGATCGCACGGCCTTAAGGTAGCCGGGTCGCAGGAAGTTAGACCAATTGAGAGGCTTCCAGCGTATGCCGACTCCGTTGCGAGTATTTGGACGACGATGGTTTGTCCCGGACGCATCGGGCGAGCGGTGAAAACGTAACCCTGGCAGAATTCCGCTTCGGTTCTCGCCGCTACTCCCCTATCGTTGACAAACTGGACATTACGCCCTTTCGTTCTGTGCAGACTAAGGGGGACGAGGGGATTTGCGTATCTTGGCGGGGGTAGTGCCTCTTCGATGCTTAAAGATCTCATGTTGCTGACTAAGCGGTCTTCCTCTATAGGACTCTGGTTGGGTCTTCTGATTTGGTTCGGCACTCTTGGGTCCGCGAATTGAACCGCTGTGCAGTTTCCGTAGACATCTACCAACGCCCAGAGAGGGTTCCTTGTGTCGACCCCTGAGAAGAACAGTCCCTTATCTTCACCGTTGATTCCGAAATGGACGTCCCCAGCGGAATTGACGTAATAATGCAGAATGTTGTCTTTCTCGCAGAATCTTTCGCCGAGAGCTTTGGCCCAGTTGCCAGGTTTGTTGGTGAGGTCAGGGCAGGCGTATTTAGGAAGGGCGTGAGCGAGGGTGGCTGGATCGTGAGTAGTGAAACCGAAACGTATGACTCCGCTCCAGCTATTGGAGATCTCGACGAAGCGGACGCACACCTGAAAATGTAGAAATACAATTGTAAATATGTGTATTTTTTATGCAAGAAAAGTTGCTGGATAGCATACGGCTCATCAGATGCTACGCAGTGCTTGTGTTTATTCCATTTATGGGGTTAGTTCACCACCTTTCGTGCTTTTCATATATCTTATAGATAAAACATAGTTATGGTTCTTTAATGGAAACAAACATTAATCCTGCCAACGCATTGGTTTGCGTGAAAATAAAATCGACTCAATTGGCAATCAGAAAAGGCAGAAAGGACAATCTGAAAGGGTACATTGCTAGAAACGCGGTTATTAGAGTCGGTCACTAGCTCCTTTCTCTCCTCGTAACTACAGTGGTGGTTTCATTAGATAGAATCTGTTGAGACCTTACCTTCTCATTGACTCTAACTGGTCGGGCACTGAACGCGACGCCCTTGCAGAAACTTTCCACACGCCTGGCCATGGAGCCATCGCGGGACACCCGGATGTTCTCCCCATGGACGCTGTGGAAGCTGAGGGGCGGGAGGTTGTTTGGCGTCCCCCCTGTACAGGAGGTGCGGGGCGCTGGAACAAAAGAAAACAACCATTGGAGAAAACTAAACACCATGAAATCAGTTTTCTAAGTTCTATTTGTGGCGTATCATTGGACATAAAAATAATAAATATTCAATATTATGTGAATATCAATGCCTCTATATTAATTGAAATTCTACCCGAAGGTCTTATATATATATATATTTACAATATTTATATACTGGTCCCATTACGAATATATTAAAAGTATGTTCTATCTATTTATCCTATTTAAGAGCTGCGCTCTTGTCGGCGGAGCTCTTGCCACTCACTACGATTTTCAGCGAGTCTCTTCACCTCTTGATACGACACGACACCAACTCCTTCCGGAAAGTATGTTATCCAAAAAATAATATTGGATAACAGACTTTTAACATACTCGTATTTGAAAATAGATATCCGACCGATATGGGCGATATCGAAATGGATGAGGACCTTTCTTTCTCCATCGATATCCAGAGGAACCCAATATATAGATATTGGATCGGTTTCCATATTATCATGCATAGTAACAAAATTTTACTAAAATAATTATAATAATTCTTTTAACTCTACACCAGTTTAGTTTAGCTGATCTTTGAAGGTCGCAAAATCTTTAAACACTTTTAAATACTTACATTTCTCAAAAATACACGCTTACACGTCCAATATGGCTATATAAATCCAGTTACCCTTAAATAACCCCAAGACAGGGGGCCTATTGTCGCTCCCCTATGATAAGACCCACCTGCGTGGCAGATGCGCTGGCAGCTTGCGCGTGCGCATGTCTAGGCAGTGAAGTATAAACTTTATTTGTATACCTATAAGACTGATAATCGTCGAGGACTGAAATAAAAGTTTCCTTGTTGATGTTATATAAGAAAATGCTGAATAAGCGAATTATTTATCAGATATAAAAAGCCACGTGAGTAAATACAGTAACTTTATCTATATTTATTCGTGTGATATTACCAAAATCTTGATTACGATGTCACAGAATTAATATTATATACCATTTATTGATATTCGTATATAGTAGTGTATGTCTTTAGTATATTTAATTGTATGTATTTATTTATGTAATATTAGAGTATTTACATGATTTTCTGTTTTATGCGCATGTCTTCACGAAGCGCTTCATTTTAACTTGTTGCTTTCGTAAAACTAGCTTAGTATTTTAATTTAATTTATACTTGTAAACCACCGTGTCTTGGTAATCTCATATGGACTCCCGCGATACAGGTTCTCCTAGTGCGGGGTCCAATGTACTCGCTGTTGTAAATTTTTTTGTGTTTGATAAATAAATAAATAAATAAAAAAAAATATATCACTTTAGTACGCGTCCAGTTCAAAATACTTTTTTTAATATATTTTTTTAAATGAGGAACACGTTTTAAAAACGGAACGACAGTTCTAAGAACGTACATTTATCGAATATCCTTATCAACACATATTTTAAAATTAGAATGAAATAAAAAAAAATTAGATTCCAATTTCAAATATTACATATAAAATAGCAACTATTGACACAGACGTAATTGACATTATGTTGGCTAATCTATCTATATCTATACTTATAATAAATCTGTGGAGAGGTCAATTCTGTACATGAAATATATTTACAAAATAACTATCAGGCGGTGATTAGCGATCGATACTGATGCCGAAAATGCAATTAGTAAAATTTTTGCCTGTCTGTCTGTCTGTATGTTCGTTATATAAACAAAAACTACTCGACGGATTTTAACGAAACTTGGTACAATTATTCTTCATACTCCTGGGCAGGTTACAGTATACTGTATAATAGATTTACAGACAGAGACTGAGAGCTGGTTAATGGATTCGTCATCTCATCATATATTAACAAGATTAAAACCTGACATCCAAACAGCAGATTGGATTATTGATCTATAAGGAACAGATTGCCAATTAGCACGCTAGAAAAAGAAAATATTTAAAAAAAATCTAATTTTGCTAAATGAATATTTACTTATACTCTGTTACTAAGTATATAGCTACTAATAAATCTATAATTTGTCGTATTATTTTTACGCCATATATGTTATGCTTTATATACAAACCATAAAGATACTTTCTCCTTGAGATTAAGATTAAGATTGTCTGAAACTAAACACAATTTAAAAAAAGAACTAAATTTTTTTTTTAATTAATAAACAAAAAATTGGCATACCTAATAGGTACGCAGCGGAAATATTTATTGCCTGAATACCTGAATGTGACAGAAAGTGACCTCTGACTACCCCTCACCTAATGGTATCTGTTATTTATTTATTTATTTACAATATAACATCAAATGGAGGCGAATGTAATGGACACACACAATGCATTTTATTTATATTTCTTTTTATTATTATTTTTAATAAGGAGTTTCGCGACTGAGTCTTGGCCACAACAGAATATCAGTGTGCTCTTTCAAGGGCAAAGCAATAAACTGAGATGTGACCATTTTATGTTACTATGGCACACGCATGAAGGAAGGGAAAGAAGGGAGATTGTTAGTTTTTATATTTTGTTTATTGTCATTCTTTTATCTCTTTTACTGTGTATTATGTGTTTTTTATATATATGTTTTTTTATTGTAATTTGTGTGCTGTAAGTAATGTAAATAAATTATCTACCATATCTATCTCCTTTCGAGTTCTCAAGGTTGACTGGAAGAGATCCCTTCAAGGGATAAGATCACCTGTGTACATTTTTGTTATAACCTAATATCTATATTATAAGTGAATGTACAAAAGCAAATAAATAAATGAAACCACTTACAAAATGGCGTCGGCGTTTGAAACACAATTAAATCTCTTGTTACGCAACTTCCTAACTTCCTAAATTGTACGGCGTTGAACTTGAACACCGTAGGAAGTGGGCACACGTGCGCATGGGGGCTGATGGGGCGTTCCCCTTGAGCGGCGAACGGTGACAATACTTGTACCGTTTCAACTCGGATTGTTTACTGCCCGAGTATTTAATATTACGAATAAAAGGAATTATAATGGGCATAGACAATTTTTTTTTTTATTTCTCGTGTCAAGGAATTTCGCGACTGGTAACAGAAACTCAGTGTTTTGCCCTTTTGAAGGAAAAGGCACTGAACTGTGACAATTTTGTGTTACTATGGCATACGCATGAAAGGAAAGAAAATACTTTTTGTGTGTATTTGTCGTGCGGTCCCCAGCATAGAATTGGCCACACCTTCCTTGCCAAACCGCCTGTCAAGATTGGCAACGACTGCCAAAACCCTCTAAGAAGGAGGCTTATCTTCAGCAGTGGACAGTCCAAGGCTGATATGATGACGCTGATAATGATGTATTTTACTATCTTTTTTTATTTATTTTTTTCTCTTTTCTGTGCATGTCTATATTTGTTTATTGTTATTTGTGTGCTGTAAAGTGATGTAAATAAATTATATATCTAAAATATGTCAAAATCAAATACATTTATAATTTTTTGAAATACACTCCTATATGTATTATACATTTTTTTCTATTTTTCAAAACACGAGATACTTAAGTAAGTAGTGGTAATGGAATGGTAAACTCACCAGCGCGGGGGGAAAGGGATTGTTAGTAATGAAGACTGAGAATCCCATTGCTAGCAATATACCCAACCAAGTGGACCTCCTCGCGGTTCCCCCTGGAAACTATCATGATTAATTCCAGATGAATTCATCATGATGGGCTAACTGACCTGTTTTCATCCTCATCGATCACCATTCACTGGTGCTCCGCCAGCGTATCCCTTTAACGCAGGCGGGGTTACCATTCCATTTTCATCCAATAAAAAAAAACCCCACCTGCGCTATCGGCATACGCTGGCATTGTACCAGGGAAACATAATAGGTGGGGATGAAAGCAGGTAAGTTAGCCGATCGTGACAAATTCTAGTAAAATTTCACTATGATGGTTTCCAAAGGGAAATACGTAGAGGTCGACCTGATAGGGTATATTGCTAGCAATGGGGCAGGGGGAAAAAGAATTGTTAGTAATGGGGACTAGTGATCCTATTGCTAGCAATACACCCTGACTGGTCTACCTTCTCGGTTGTAATTTATTCTTGATGTATTCGTCATACGGACCAACTGACTTGCTTTCATCCTCACTTATCATGATCCCCTAGTACCTCGCCAGCATATACCGATATCGCTGATGATTATCATCCATTAAAAAGCAACGGGGCTGTTATATCGAATTACTAACAATCCCTTTCCCCCAGCAGTATAGATATTTCCCATATTTAAGCAATAATATCAAGTTCGAATATATAACAATAGCAACGCGCGAGCCAGGTGGTCTTGAAAAAAATATGAGGGTGGCAGCCATTTTGGTGTCGAGGGGACCAACATCCGCCGGAAGCTGTACAGCTTTTCTCCCGATACTAGTGATCGAAATCGGAAATAAGATATTTTATAAAAAAAAAAAGGAAGTACGATTAAATTATTTATTGGGAAAGATAAATAAATATATAGTTTATAGATTTAACATAAGACTGTAAACGTTTTTCTGTCATATACATTTTTATACAACTTAGAATGGCAAACAAGCTGACGGCCCACCTGATGGAAAGTGGTAACCGTCGCCTATACACATGAGCAGTACCATGGACATAACAGAGTATACTGTTTCGCCCATGATACCCCCCATGCGTTACCATTCCTGAGGACTCAGATGTTATTCCTCTGTACCCTGTAAATTCACGCCATATCCCAACCTTAAAGCCGAAACATAGCCATGCAAACACAACTGCTTTAGGGGTGAAACACGAATGGGACAGAGGTACCCAAGCAAATTTTGTACAAAGTCTCGCTCTGGTAAACTTTTTCAATTCCTATTTTGAACATAAACATATTGGGTATACAAAATATATTTAGCCGACACGTGTACACTATTAATTTAGTTGCAAAAATAGCTTCGCCAAGCTTCGGAACTAATTCTCTGTTGTAATTTGTTGCGCCCCTCGGTGCGTATTTAATTGTGCATCCCTTAGTTTGGGGGTGG